AAAAAAAAAAAAAAAAAACAAAAAAAAAAAACAATATTATTCCGCAGAAATCGATGGAAAAATTATTTTTTGATGGAAGCTTCAAAATGCGTCCGATTAGTCGTATAAATTCTAAAATTTCTCGAGGGATGCCCCTCGGACCCCCCCCCCCCGTGCTTGGGGCCCGAACCTTAAAAGTGGTACCAGGGCCTGAGATGGGATGTGGCGGGCCTGTGTATCTAGAGTCCAGACTCTTGAAAACATTGGCAAGAAAAAATACTCTTGACTCAATCGGATTTTTGCTTGAATCAAAACGAAATCCGCTTAGATTAAGAGGCTTGGTTCTTAAGTTAAGCTAGATTCTGATTGAATCAAGAGTACTTTTTCTTGTCGATGTTTTTAAGAGTCTGGACTCTAGATCCAATGTGTTTTTTTTCCAGTGCAGAGTCTGACTTGTAAAAAACTATTTGGAAATACATGATACGAACTACGCAAGTGGAGGAGGAATTTCGGACTTTTTCAACGTGCTCATCGTGGTTTTTGGGTGGTTTAACCATGACAGATTAGTTCATTTATTCGTATCTATTGTAAGCAACAGACTCATGCCTGGAAAAAATTTCTATTACGAAACGCAGCGTTCGCCTCCCTCTATGTGCGATGCGTAATTTATAAATGGCTCCCAGAAATCTTGTGTCAAAAACAGCGTCTTTGTTTAGACTCCCAGCATTAGTGAAAACTCGTAAAACTCAACATTCCATTACGACGATATTCGAGCATAGCGACAGGTTCTCTAGGTCACTATTACGATCCCCTCTTCTTACCGCTCCATTCTGTCCAATGTTGGGCTATAGTGCGTGTCTGAGATGATGACAAGTATGTAGAGCGATTAAGCTCTTTGTGAACTACAGATCAAACGAGATTTGGATATTGTTCAAATTCAAGAAAAATACTATTGTCTACGCTAGGGACTGAAAGTGTTCCAAAAAAAGTTCTGCCTTTCCCGAATGCCGCATTGTTATTCTATCGAGTCACCGTGGAACTTTGATGGAACATACGTGTCATATTATATTGCAGCTTTGCACATTTTCTTTGGAGTACTTTTTGCAATTTATTGAGACTAAGTAGTAAATATTTTGCGTCCGTCTCACTGATTTTCTAAATCGGAACTTGCATCCAGGAGCGGCATACCTCACGAAGTGAGACTACTTTCGTCTCCAAAATAATTTTAGATGGATATTTTTTATTGTGATACTGTAGAGTTTATCAGTAATGTGGGGCCTTATTTAGTGTAATAAAACAATTTTCAGAGATTCGGAAAATCAAAAATCAAAATAGGAGGGAAAGTAGTTAAAACACCGAGAACTTATGAGAGTGTATGAAACATGGTATTGATAAATTGGAGTATTAAAACTTTTTTCCTATTGAAGCTGATGTATAATCTTTAATTTGATAACTTTTTTACTGAAAAAAAATAAATAATTTTTTACGTGATCAATCTTGGAGGCAATTAAGAACTAAATGATAGGAGTTATACGTATAACAAAAACTCACCATCAATTGGGGGGGTTGCATAATTTCACGTTTCAATTGCTAATTTACCTTTTTCTGCGGGATTGAGCTTTGCTTTTGAGTTCAGCATTTGAAGGACGTAATTTTGAAACTTCAACTTAAAAAATGGGTTTTCAAAGAAAAGAAAAAGCTCTGAATTCCTCATGAACAGACAAAACAGCCTATTGTGCTGCGCTGTACCCTTAACGATTAGCTAAAGCGACATTTTCCCTGATAAGGATTTCGACCAAAGGGTCAAAAAATTCGCTCCTTCTGGAACTGGAGGAAAAAGAAGAGACTAAATCTAAAATGACATTGGTACGGAGGTCTGATGCTACTCACCAAAGTGCAATCTGTTATGTAGTGGCCTTTTTGAAAACATAGATGACACATGTAATTCTCGGGTGGTTTTTTGTACGTTTTAGGTTCTAAGTTGATCTCCTCAAATTTATCTGTCAACTCCTCTGTAAGCAATAAAACACACGCAATTAAAATATTATTTTAACCCAAAAAGTTAGGATATTGAACCATCAATTATTGCATTTTTTCCCTTATGAGTGTAAGGCTCCTCAATAACGAAAGGTAGTAAAGGCCCGCAGTAAAATTTAATGCAATTCTTGGTGGAGAATTTCATAGATTTTCATAGAGCCTTCGCGGGCTTTGTGTGAGACTGTGAGACCCACGACAAATAACTGAGAATGGGTCAGTTGCGCTGCTGACAAAATTGTCTTTTGAAGCTTGATTCTTGTAGATCAGTTGAAAATAATAAGATCTGTCCAAATCGCAACTTTTCACGTTTAATCCGTTGCAGGAAAGCAACAATTGGTTTTCAGCTCAATTTCTATGCTGGGGTATTAAATTGAATTAAAGCAAGAAATGATCTTTTGGGGAGCATTATAAGTCTGATCTCCCAACTTTAAAAGAAACTACAAAGATCCATTCCAACTGACTCTATTGTCGAAAAAATACTGCACGATGTAGATTTTCTGTCCAAAATCAACGATTAGCTCATGCAACAAAGGGTTGATATTAACCGAGATTTCGCGCTTTGAAAAATTCGGTTCATGACGGCATCCAGCGCGGTAGTGACACCCTCGATTTCTTTTACCTTCCTTACATTAGTTAGGGAGACACACATTTGCACTGGCTACTCAACGTTAAACTTGGATGAAAGCAAGGTGGAAGAAACCAAGGGTGTCACTGTCGCGGTGGACGACGTCGTGAACCGAATTTTTCAAAGCGCGATATCTCGGTTCGTAGTAAACGTAGAAAGTTGCTGTTGGAATACATCTTACTAATTCTAGCTTATCTACAAAAATCAAGCATCAAAACACGATTCTGTGATCAGTGCAACTGATCCATTAGGTAAGACATTTTGAAGTTCAAACTAAAAAAGATTTCCTCTTCAGAATTCCAAATTTGCCATATATTCGCCGGAGCGGAGTTTCACGGTGAAATTTTATCTTTATGAAATGTTGCAACTCTGGTCGTAATACAAGGGTGCTGTGGTAGATGCAGACGAAATAAGTCGAGAGCGGGACGAAGGCATTGGCGGATCCAGCAAATTGGCAACATTGTCTTTTCCCCATTTAAATCTATGGAAATATATCGATCCTTAAAGGAGCCAGGTGCTCCAATAAGAATCGATTATTTAGCATAGGTTTAAAGGGAAGAAATCCGGTGTTGCCAAATTGCTGGATCCACCTAGTGAAGCGTCGAGCTGTCTCTAGATCCGCCACCACTGGCCTCTCTGTGCCTTTCGAAAAAAAAAATTCCCAGTTTAACTCATGGGGACAAGAGTTTAGTAGTCTTAACAAAGAATTTGAAAAATAAGCTCACCCATGAGATCTGGAAATTTGGAAGGTGTCATGATGCCCCAATTGGAGTCGTACGGCATGGACGGAGGTATCTGGACCAGATTCATGTTTGAGTCGTAGGACCTCTCCGCCCTGCTCATTGGTCGAGCGTGTGGAAATGGCCCCCATAGCTGCGGCACGATTGGGGAGTGCTACCCAGGACAAAAAAAGCAATACACAATAATTTAACGATAAAGCACAAAAAAGAAAAAAAAACAAAGTCAGAATATAGGAATAAATAGGGAGGAAATTAAAACGTGGGTAAACAAGGATAAAACATCAAAAAGACACTAAAAGGCAGGACGTTTTGAGCTGTTACCAGCTCATTTTCAGCTGCAAAAGCACAACAAATAAATAAATAAAAAAAATTGAGCGACGTCACCAGTAACCTGACCCCAGTCATTATCACGTAACCACTGGAACTCGGTGATTTTTTTATTTCAATTTTTCATTTATTTATTTATTCACTGCATTTTTTCAGTTGAAAATAAGCTGGTGACAGGTCAAAACGTCCTGCTTTTTAGTGTCCTTTTATAATGCTTTAGCCTTGATCAACCATGTTTTAATTCCCTCTCTACTTACACAATGATTTATTAGTTTTAAACAAATGCAAGCCTTCGGAAATTGTCATAGGTGGTAGAAATGATTTGTTTTCTCAAAAAACTGTATTCAAACTGTGATTTTAACCGTTCCGTAGAAAAGGGATTTCCATAAAAAACAAAAAAAAAACTCCGGGGCGTCCATAAAATGCGTAACGCTCGAGGAGGGAAGGTGACCGATGAGTGCGTTTGGTACTGAACAAGTTACAGCATAAGAATCTACTTAACAGAAGCCTTACGAGGGGAGAGGAGAAATGAATGCAAATACATTTTAGTAAAAATAACAATTTCATTTTCGCAGTAAATTTATACCAACCAAGTAAATTTATTAATTAATTTTATTTATAAAAGAACACACCTACTATTTAAAACAAATCAGATTCATTTGAAAACTGCAGTTTTAATCATAGTTATTTTTATAATAATTTTTATTTGTTTTAATAGCTTAAATTTATAAAGCGTGATACTGAAGCTATTAAGATAATTAAAAATTTTAAAACAATTGTTAATTGAATCAATTATTTAGTTTAACAAAACACTATTTTTTCAATATAGAAATAAATAACAATTTAATAAATTTGAATAATAAAAACTTTTCAAAACATAGCTTCTAACTATGTAAAAGTAATATCTTTCATGTCTGAAAAATTCTTCGTATTTTATAATTTTTTTTTTGTTTGTCATGAGTTTGAAGCTTTGGCACTTGTGATATTACTCCCAAAAATGGACGAAATGACGCCCCCTCTCCTATATCTCTTCTCCTACACTTACGGCGACTGTGTTGAGTACATCAATTGAGGCATTCTTCGGAAAAAGGACGTATGAGACTTCCAATGACGCTGAGTTTGTGCAACGTGGTTCTTTAGTTGTAAGTAACTTATCCGAAAGTTCTGCTACGAATTTTCCGCGAACTTGCTCCTCGTTTTCTCTCTTTATTTCGAAGAATTTTAAAGAAGTAAGTCGACTGTAGATTCATTTCATCCTCCGCAAACACTACACTGGAAAAAAAACACATTGGATCTAGAGTCCAGACTCCTAAAAACATCGACAAGAAAAAGTACTCTTGATTCAATCAGAATCTACCTTAAATCAAGAACCAAGCCTCTTAATTTGAGCGGATTTCGTTTCGATTCGAGCAAAAATCCGATTGAATCAAGAGTATTTTTTCTTGTCAACGTTTTCAAGAGTCTGAACTCTAGATCCAATGTGTTATTTTTCCAGTGTATAAAAACTAGCACAATCTGAGCAGCATTGCAAGCCTCATAATCCATTTTGCCGGAAAAATCCTCAATTTATTCGGGACTCCAGGCGAAAATTTCAGATCGATGGCTCCATTGTATTGTCCCGGAGCTGGCTCGGCGGGGAACTTAGAGTTTTGAGGTAATTCGTTTAATGTCGTGATTCAGATGCTATTAATACGCGCTCCGCTTCAACAACGGAAAGGGAGACAATGTGCTTTGACGCAGCGCCTCCCCGGCACACCTTATCATTAATACGGCTCCGATACCGGCAGGTAATGCCCCACTACTTTCTCGAGCCTCCGATCATAAAACTTTAAACACGAAAATTCTCTTTAGTCCCTCCAACAACCTCTCCTTTGTGATACGGCTGGCAAGGCTATAAATCTAATCTTATTGGGCGAGGAGCGCCCCTCAGTGACAGATTTTGAGGGACGTTACAGCTAGACTCGGGAGGTTCTCGGTCCTAGATCACTTTTTTGATAAAACTTTATTTTGAAAACTCTTCATTTTCGGAGGGGATTCGTTGATTCCCCCCCCCCTCTATTTTCCATTTCTTACTAACTTTATGGAAAGTTTTCGATTTTAAAAACCCTTTCCACTGCTTTTTCATCATCCTTGCGCACGGCTACTCGGAATCAGTGGCGAGGCGTGAATGATCGATTATCGATGTTTCTCCATTTGAAGCTATGGTAAAGAATCGATTATTAAGGTGTTCGCTACGAACACCCTGTCCATCGATCCTTTCCCACAGGTTTAAATGGGAAATCAATCGATGTATCGCAAAGCACGCCACGCCACTCCTCGGGATCTCCTGGTCGTTTGATAGAATTATTATCTTGAAAAGTATATATTTGCACGCCTGGGGTCGCGTTATTCTATGCGTTTAAGAGAAAAAATAGATGAGCTAAGAGAGCACTCGAATAGTTAAATGAATATTCCTACTCTTGAGGGAGTGTTTTGAGAGATGTTTTATCTCATTAAAATGAATACGCTGGAAGTCTCCACATATTCTTTGAGGCACACAGGTTCATTTCATAAATTTGGTTTGGAAGAGAGGAAAATATTTTAAATCGATTATTGTAGTTCTTAAAATGATTTAGTGCTGAATCCAAAATTCGTGGGTGTGGACACTTCGAGATTTTCCGGAAAATCGAAGTTTGCCTGGAAAAGTGAAATTTTGCATCAATAATTCGATTTTCTGGAAAATTGGTGAATGAACGTACCAGTTTAGAAAATCACTTTTGAACCTAGTTTGAAAAAAACTAAAATTACTGCAGGTTTAGCAGGCAAAAAGACACAGAAATACCTGGTCTGTATGACTATGAACTTCATCTGTTCTTCCTGATAAACTTTATCGGAGAAATCTTCACTTATCACGATGAGTACATAGTTAAAGTTTTTAGGCATGCCAGGGGTACATTTCTATGTATTTCTGGCTTCTAATTAATCTAACCTCTTTTGGCACGATGGGACCTCATACGGCATATCCTTTCATTCGATACAAAAAAATTTTGGCTAGATCTTGTCTCAACGTTTTAATTCTTGCTACGAACAAAACTATTCTTGAGTGACTTATTGTTGGTGTTAAATATAGCCATGTTAAATGTGAAAGTAAACAGAATATAAAACTAAAGCTAAGTAAAGTTATATTATTTATTGTGCTTGAAGTTTTTCCTGGCCTTTTTGTAACCTCTTGCTCTAATGAGGACTATACCCAGTTGAAAAATATTTGAGCACGATGAAGAATGTAATTTCACAAAACTTTGGTTTCATGTCGACGTTGATATTCCCGGACCACATATCTCGTTTGTGGCGTTTAAAAATTTCTGCTCTCATTTTATTTTTTCAGGAAAAATAAATCAACACCATTCCAGGAAGTTTTCACATAATGTTATTCGCTCAGAGAAGAAAAATCACAGAAAGTTTAAAAAATCAACGTTGAGTAGTTTCCCATTTGAAGAATAAAGTATGGCAGGAAGTCTGTAACGTTGCAAATTGATTTACGTGGTATGGGAGTTTCACGGTCGATATTTACTTTTACAAATTATTCTGTTATAAATGTGATCTGTAAAACTAATTTTCATACGGAAAGGTATACGAGTCCAAATCTTTAAAACCGTTCACTTTGATGGAAGATAAAGCGAAACTTGGCAGTGACGCGCCGGCTCAAGGTGGACTGTGTCAATGGGAATGGTCGGACAAAATGTAGAACCTTTAAACGCTTTTAACTCCATTATTACAAAACGTCGAGGCCCTAAAAGTGATCTCATAGGTTTTCGCGTAAAATTTACTTTCAAAAGCATCCCTTAAACTTAAAAATTTGACGAAATAAACATGAAAATTTGTAGTTTTAGTCAAATATTTTATGTCCGACCTTTCTGATTGACTCGATCTACTGTGCGGCCCCGCCGTTTGCAGAGCTCATATAGCTACGCGAGCAACACAAGCCAGAGCGCCTTCAGTTCATTGAATATGCTTCACGAGCATCCGCAGAGCATGAATAGTTGCATCAAGGAGTTTTTATCAACATATAGTCGCTTTCAACAGCTTACTTACTCACTAATAGTATAGCTGAGCGCATTTATTCTATCCGTAGAGTACATAGAGTCGTGATGTAAATGAGAGAGCTGGCGCCATGTTCTGGTTGACAAGTTCCGAGCCCGGTGTGCGCCGAGCTTCGGTCACCTTTTCAATACATTTTCGATCCAAAATGGCGATGTAGATACAATACGTAATGATTTCTATCATCTTTGTTTACATCCGCCGGTCGGGTTCCCGTGTATAGAAAACAATCGATTATGCATCGAAAAAGTGACCCAGCGTCATACAGGAGTCTCGGAATTTGGGACTTGGAAAATGCTTAAAAGTGGCGTCAGCTCTCCCATTTACATTACGACTCTATGTGCTATATGGTTCTATCCACTGCAGACGAACTTACCAGATTTTTCGTAAAAGCTGATGAGGATATCCGAGCAGCAGATAGACAAACTCCAACATGAGAATATATTACTCTAATTTAAATTATTGTACTAGATACTATAGATTGTAAAATTATTACCACGTGAATGTTAGTTCTTATTCTAACTGTGTAACTTTAGGAGTTGCATTCTGAACTTTCGGTTTTAATTAAAATTTTAGAGGAGTAAAATGTACAGGAATTATATAGATTTAAAAATTCTGGAAACTGAGTTTATTAGAAGCGTAACTTTCTGACCACAGGTCTATTGTGAGCTGTTGTCTTCCACCTCATAGCACGCGTACAAAGCCTGAACCTGCGGGCTGATTTTAAAACTTGATAGAGAAAGCTATGAAAAAAGTTAACAAAGGGAAGATAGAGCGATCCTTTTGATTGGAACGAATAGGTATCGTGGGTTTCTCGTCTTTCTGTCTCGTAGGATGCCGTTAGTTAGTCTATTATCCATTCACGGAAAAAAAAGAATTGTTGATTCAGCAATTCAATTGCTAAAAACAGTGAGTGCAATGTTTCAACGCAGATTTTACAACAAAAAAATGCTACTTTAACCACCCCCGTGGTTAAATTAATTTACAATGTGGTTAAAGTAGCATTTTTTTGTTGTAAAATCTGCGTTGAAACATTGCACTCACTGTTTTTAGCAATTGAATTGCTGAATCAGCAATTCTTTTTTTTTTCCGTGATGCATGACTCCATTGCATGCATCCATGCATCCATTGCATCCTCCATTATCCATTGCAACCACCCGTTTCCATCGATAGGATCCTTCCATATCCCTTTTGCCTTCTTTGTCTATCGCTTTGTCTACCAATTTCACCAATCAGATGCAGAGCAAATTAAAAGCATTTGTGTAAAATCTGTTTAATAACTTGATGCTTTTTTATAACTTTCGGTATAGATTCACCCTAAGTAGTTACGCTCGGTCAGTTTCAGTCAAATCTTGGGACCACATGGGGTAGAATTTATGAGGCGGAAGCAGCTGCCTAGGTGAGGAACAAAACTTCATTACATCTCCAAAAAATCGAGTACAATCGATATAGAATGACAAAACAAGGTTTTAAAGCTTTAAAGCGAAAATCGGTGGGAGGGAAAGGCAGCATTTTTTTTTGTAAATATAGAGGAAAATTTTCTTAAAGGGTCGGTGGAACTTTCATTGCGCATCTCATTTCACGGAAACTTTTTCAAAATAGTGAATTCCCAGTTTTTCATGGAGAAAAAAAGGAGGTGTTTGCATTTCGGGCATCTTGGATGACGTAGGACGTAGGTCGGCACAACGAGTTTATCATCGATTTTCTTGGCGATGGTGTAATTTATGGAAAAAAGTCATTCTATAAAAAGTGCTTGAAATTATATCATGAGTTGATTCAAGTAAAAAAATCGGACATTATGGTCCGTTTTTCCTACTTCGAATTCCGGATTTCGCTGGCCGCAGGTATTGTACCGACCTACGTCACAGGGTAAACAAACCTCAAGATTCAAACACCCCCTTCTTTTTCTCTGTGCCAGTTTTTAAGTGGAGCATAACGTCGCTCCTCTGACGTGAGGGCTTACCTTGATTTCCGCATGAGCCACAGGAAGCGTGGCCTCATACGTAAAACATGGCTCACGTGAAAATCAAGATAAGCCCTTACGTCAGAGGAGCGACAATAAAGATTCCTGAAAAATGGGGCCCCCGAAAATAGATCGAAACAATACCTTTAACTGGTTATGATAAAAAAAAAAAAAAAAAAAAAAAAAAAAAAAAAAAAAAAAAAAAAAAAAAAAAATCAACGGCTGCTATCTGTGAGCGATGGACTGGACGCATCGTACTGTCCTCTAAAGTATGAACGGTGGAAAAACTTGCCCCCGAATATGTAGACGCAGTTTTTGCCGGAGGCGCAAAAATGGTATTTCGAGAACATAGACATGGCAGCGTATAGTGGAAAACTTTCTCGAAAGAATCCTCCGACCTCTGTAAAATTGCCGATTATCATAAAAAAGAAATCTTAGAAATTGTTTGATACATTTAAAATCAACGTTTTTTAAGTTATTGAATATTGGGCTGCAGTCGAGTTCCAACCGAATCAATTTTCAGAATAAGGGAGTTACGTGTGTCTATGGTTGGCTGCCACCTTTTTTCGTTTGGAGGCTTTCCAGTGTTGTCGAGTTTAGACTTTGTCCGGAGGTGGCTACCGCCACCCATGATGACCGTACGCAAAAAGCGCCTTATTCATTTTATGTAAGGTAAGACAGCAGTATGGAATATCCTCGGCGTGTTTACCTTTTTGGACGGGCAACAAACAAATTTTAAGGTTAGAAATTAGCAAGAAAACGGTATCGTTTTGCTCAAGACACCTGACAGTCCCCTCGTAGAATTTTGTGGACTCACTGCTGTAATGCCTAAAATTGCGTCAAATTTCGCGCACATACGGCTTTTCCAAAACTTTTGTTTTTTTTTTCAAATTAGACGACGCACAGTGGATCGAGTCAACGGGAGAGGCCGGACAGAATTTGGGAACTTTAAACACTTATAACTCAGTTTAAACAAAATTTTGAGATTTTAAAAGTGGATCCATTGGTTTACCCGTAAAATTTTCTTCCAGAGGCACACCTTAAAACTTGCAATAAGACGAAATAAACATCAAAATTTGCAGTTCTAGTCAAAACTTCCATGTCCGACCTCTCTGATCGGCTCGATCCACCGTACGACGTTTACTTTTTCATCCGACACGGAAAAAAATGAAATGTTGATTTAGCATTTATACTGTTAAAAAGATGTCCGACAAGTTTCAAATGCTGATTTTACAATACAAAAATGCTAACATAACATTTTAATTTGTACCTTTTGCAGTGGGCGTAGTTACGTTAGCATTTGTTAAAATGTAAAATCAACATTTGAAACTTGACGGACATCTTTTTAACAGTATAAATGCTTAATCAACATTTCGTCACCTTCCAGGCAAAGTATCACAAGCGCCATGCGACGTTTAAAAATTTCCGCCGCCATTTTATTTTTTTACAGGGAAATTGTTCAACGAAGCTGTCCGAAAATTTCACTGAATTTTCTTTGTGCTGCCGATAAAATTTAGTGAAATTTCCAAACAGATTCAACCAACAATTTCTCAGTAAAGAAATAAAATGGCGGCGGAAATTTTTAAACGTCGCATGGCGCTTGTGATACTTTGCCTGGAAGGTGACGATTTAATTTCTTTCCGTGGAGTTCATTTGAATTAGTTTTTTGGAATTTAGAAGGCTAAGTCGACTTGGAAAATTCGGGCGCTACTGCCCTCATGAATAAGACGGGAGATTTACCAGCATGGTCGTGGGCGAGACGGTCCTGGGGGCGCGTTGCGGTGGGGGCGGCGGGGGCGGGGGGTCGGGCACCAGCCAGAGACTCGGCTCGGGATAGGGGGCGCGACTTTCGAGGAAACTCGTCACTTGCCGGGGGTGCATCAACAACCGCGGGTTTCGGTGGTACTGAGCCGGTGCCGCTAAGCGTCTCGCCGGCTCTTGCCCGGGGCGCGGGGGGCCACCCCCCTCCAGTATGCCCGTCTTTCATTTTTCTCACGAGGTCGAGCCGCTGCCAACTTTTCTTTCTCTCTCTCTCCTTCCCACCTTGCAAGCTGCATGCACGCCCTTGCCAAAATCCACTCAGCCTCCAGTAAATCTTACGCGGAAATGTCATTTGCTTATGAACTATGTGACAGCGCTGCGGGCCGCAGCGTTGTCAAATATTTTGTTAAATTCCTAGATTTTTCCATGATAGGTGAGAATAGAGTCCCTTTATACTGAGAGTCAAGACAACACCCCCTCATGGAGTCACAAACGGGAATTAAGATGACAGAAATCGAACGTTTTTCGTAATCTTTGATCGGCCCATTCTCAATTCCTTTCTCCGTTCCTTCTCTCATTCCGTTTGTTCCTTGCCGAACCCATAATTCCCTGGTCCATTCCAGATTATAATCTTTGCAATCGGCGAAAATGTAATCTTTATTCCCGTTTGTGACACTGTGAAGACCTAAAATACGGGAACCAATCAGAAATGGATTCACATTGTCTCGACTCTCATACAGGGACTCTAGGTGAGAAGAAAAGAGAGGAGTTCCTCCGCATACATGGCAATCTGCATAGTCGCGGGTCCGATTCCTCGGCAGCATTCTTTTGGGGGTTTGATAACGCCGCGTGGCATACGCAGCGAAGTCTTGCGTGGCCCGTCACTCCCCCTCCTGTCCTCGTCTTGCTGATTACACGAGGGTCAGTTTTCGCTGACCACGGCCCTCGTCTCTCGCCCACTCTCGCGGAGGCTTCGCTGAGTTCGCTGCAATGCTATGAAAGAACGTCGTAAGAGCGTTTGGACCGCATTTAACAGAACGGAACCAAGTCACATCAGCTATTGCCAAATTTAACTGGGCAATTTAATTTTCTCCGAGAGAACGTGATTGTGGATTCCTTTGAAAATTTTAGGAAGTGCTTCGTACTGCACTGGGAAAAAAACACATTGGATCTAGAGTCCAGACCCTTGAAAACATTGACAAGAGAAATGACTCTCGACTCAATCAGATTTCAGCTTAAATCGAAAGGAAATCCGCTCAAATTAAGAGGCTTGGTTCTTCATTTAAGCTTAAATTTGATTGAATCAAGAGTACTTTTTCTTGTCGGTGTTTTTAAGAGTCTGGACTCTAGATCCAATGTGTTTTTTTTCCAGTGTGTGAAGAAAGTTCTGTAGAATTTGCACGAAAATCTGCGCGACCATTTTCGTGTAAAAAATTAAATTTGGCAATAGCTGATGTGGCTTGGTTCCTTTCTGTTTAACGCGCGCGGTCCATTTGACTGCTACCAAATATCTCCTCATACAATATTACTTGTTTAGGATAGTTGTGAATAATTTCCCCCAAATCTGACAGACGAGATTAAAGTGCATACTGAAAGATTGATTTTTTCCCCTTCCTCTCTAAATTCCATAGAAAATTAGTGTTTCATGAACAGAAACCTGGCAATTTAGGCGCAGATGTTCTTATGCCAGAATTAGTTGTATCAATTATTGAGAGGCTTGGAGGACAAGGCGCTTAAGTGCAGTTTTTGAAAAATATTAGATTTTTACGAACTCAACTAAAACTAGACTTCCTTTACTTCAGACCTTCTCTAGTGGCCCATTACGGCGATCAAAAAAATCCCGGTCTCTAGTTGTCCCCATAAATCCTGGTGAACTGCACATTTTATGAAGTGAATGACTATTAAAATTATAATTTATGGCAAAAGCATCTAGACCCGTGACTTCAATCACAAGCTTTTCGATGATCAGAATGATACATTCTCATGAGGAAAGTATAATCTGTCGCGAATATACTCAGCTCTCACCAAAAATCTAGTAAATTCTCCTACAGCCCGTAGAATGAATGAGTAGTTATGGATCGTGCGTAAGAGAGCTGTCGGATGCGTTGAATAGTTGATAAAAACGCCTTGATGCAACTATTCGTGCTCTGCGGATGTCCGTGTTGCATATTCAAAAAATTGAACGCGCTCTGGCTTGTCGTGTCTTCGCAACAAGTAGCTCTGTGATCGGCGCGGCACACAGTGGATTGAGTCAATTAAAGTGGTCGGACATGAATTTTTTTGCTAAAACCGCAAATTTTTATACTTTTATTGTCCCATTTTAAACCTTAAGGGGTGCCCTATGAGGAAAATTCCACGAGGAAACCAATGGAATCACTTTCAGAACTTCAAAGTTTTGTATAAACGGAGTTATAAGCGTGTAAAGTTTCCAAATTTTGTCCGACCTCTCTAATGGGCTCGATCCACTGTGCAGCGTGTCATCATCTATCAGCAACCTACAGGGTTATAGGACAATTCGTCAACGATTTTTTGTCCGCGCACCTGTTTTTTTCCAGTAATTTACGTCCACGCGTTTTTTCGGCACGGGAGTTTTGGTCCATGTGCCAGTTTAGACCCAAAGTTAATTGGCACACATGTAAATACAAACGACAATTGCTCACGACGTTTTTGGATGAAAATGTATAATGTCTTGGAAGAACGAGGGTTTGCTTCTTTTTTTGTTTTGTCTTTTTGGTCCAACGGAGAATAATATATAGTTGAGAGTTTTGGTAAAAATGGGGGATCGTCAATTCCATGAGACAAAATTCACTAAAACTCTCTACACCTCTTTGGTGTAACAGGACTTAATTATCTTTCAAGAAATTGCCACCTTGTTATACCTGAACCGGATACATCTCTATATTTGCCTCAGCTAAAGGCTCTTAGATTTTTTCTGTGTACGATAAGTATCTTGATTTATTTTGCGAGGAATGATCTGTACTTTTAAAGGATGCCTGTCATTCTTAATACGTTCAATTTCGTATAATACAATGCAACAACTCTGTTGTGAAATAGTTGCTTCAAGCGCCGCCGCACGGCAGGCGGGCGCCCAGCGCGGAACGCGCATTGGCGCCTACAAACCTAAGTGGATACTTCAAGCATTGTGCAATGCGCGAAGTATCCACTTAGGTTTGTAGGCGCCATTGAGCCTCTCGCGCTGGCAGCACGCCGCTCCGCTCTGTTAGGCTTTAATATTTATACTCGCATAGTCAGCGTTTTTTAACTCATGACTTTGAAATTTTTGCACACTTTACATTGATAATTCTCATTTAAATCGATGGGGAAAAAATATGTATCTATTTATCAAAGGAGAATAATAATATAATGTGTGATTTTTTTTTAAAATATTGGTGGTTCCGTGTCAAATTTAATGATTTCCAAAGCACTTTAATTTTTTCTTTTACATTTTGTGCTTTTACTGTGCTGCAGCGAGGTGTACGCGCAACCAAACGCTCAAGATTTGACGTATTTGACCCTAAAAGATCGATGTACAAATGGGTTAAAACTAAAGAAGTATTTTTTCCCTACCAGGTGTCAGGTGTTGCCGAATTGCCTACGATAAAGTACGAATTTTTCAGGAAAACTTTTGCATATCATGGACTGCATTTTGCAATTTGGACGTATAAATTCAGGCCCGGTTTAAAAACAACGTATATGCCATTAGTTTCCCTATGCACATAAGTGTTTTTTCAGATGTGCCAGAATTCATAGGTCCAAATTGCAAAATGCAGTCTATTTTACCTTCAATTTTTTGTGGTAATTTTATTCGCAAATAATCTATAGTATTTAAATTTTCAATGAAAGGTAGTCATAACCGGACTTCATTTCAACGAATATTCAACGTTGTCAAATTTTCCGTGACAAATTTTTTTTTTAGAGGAAAGTTGGACTTTTTACAATAAGGAATCGCAACTTGTGACTCATCCGTAAAAACACCTATCTGCACTGAGAAACTTATGACACATACCTCGTTTCTCAAATGAGCCAGATATAGTAATTCCTCAATGCAAAATTAAATCTAACTTTCCTCTATTAAATAATTTATCACGGACAATCTGACAGCGTCGAATATTCATAGGACGTTTTTCCTAAGCACGTCTGCACTGGTTCAATTTTTCCATTTGCTTTGTTCCCATTCGAGGATCGCCCGCGGGGGATTACACCCGGTCGGGCAGAAACCGCCTTTCTCCCACGGCGCATCCATGAAACTTACGCGGTTCTCCGTCCGGAAGCAGATTAGCGCGAGACAAAGGACGGAAACGAGTCCTCTCGAGCGGTTTGAATGACGACGCAGGGACGGATCGACGAAGTGCCGAGGCGCGCCGCCAGGGGCGACACAATCGCGGGTCCGCGCCCGGGCAAAGCGAGACGCGCGCGCGCGCCAACGCACCCCCGACGCAAGGGTTTCCCAACGGTCCCTTCGCCTTCGATCAGTCTCCCATTCTCGCACGGAGTCCCTGCCGCGGTATCGATGTCGCCCCGATCGACCCCCTAGTTTCCCAGTTTATTTACAAAGCCCGTCCGACGGAATGCCAGGCCACCCCTGCTGAGCCCGCCGTCGCAACCCCCCGAGTAAGTTCCGATACTTTCAATACGTCAATACGTCGTGCGACCCGTAACCTACTTTATTTTTCATGGCACTCTGCTATCAAATCTCCAAGTGATCGGGCCACGAATCACTTACACACGAGTGTTACACTTAATGTGCTGTGTGTCCTCATTCCTCGGGAGCCTATTTTAATTCAACATCAGATTGGGAATTGGGAGGAATCTCGGCAACATCAGAAATCAATTGATGGGGATCGATTGGTGATTCGAGGGAAGTTTGAGCCTGCGGTCACTGGTCAGCCAGTTCTGCCTCCCGTGATGAATGTCACCAGTATATCGAACTGTTGCACACATAAGTTATGGATTGGTCACGAGGGATAAGATTGCGAGATTTGACCAGATTTTTGAGCTGTTAAAACACGTGCGAATCCGTCGGCAGGTTTTGATTTTTGTGAGCTACGGTGAGGTAGGTCAGCAGTAAAGCATATCTTGTTGACTATGACTAAGTCAGAAGGCTTACAGACAATGCAAATAAATTGACAGGGATAAAATTTAAAAATTACGCTCAATAGTATATAAACAATTCTGCTCGTTAGTCGTAGATGTGGCAAAAAAGTATTATTAAATAAGAAGTTTATTAATGTTCCTCTGTAGGTGTTTCATATTCGTTTTAAACTAAACGAAAACCGTGATTTTCGTGTGAAATGTTTCAATATTCTCAAAATATTTGAAAGAAATTACACTGGATGTTTGCAACAAAAAGTGATTAGGATTTCGCAATTAAATTGAATCGGACTGGAAAATTACAATCTCTTGGATTGAGATACGTGCTTTTTACCATTCATGATCGAAGGATGAAACGGTGCTAGTCATGTAATGATATTAAAATCATCAAATTTAAAGGCATTGCGAAGCATCTTAGTTCTACAGATTTTTTGACGTGATAAAATATAAAGCAAAAACATAAGTATTTTCTTTTTTAGGGATATATTTTCTCACCAAGGTGACTTATAAATAAATAAATTAGTAGATTATTGAAGTAATACTTGTCCCGAAAAAATCAATTCATTATATATCTTCACGGAAAACATTGTAAAAATATGATCTAGTTTGGAGGGAAAATGGAGTACAACTACTCAAGCTAGGTAAAATTTGGGAAAATCATCCAAACTTGTCATTTCCAGATGATTCGGTTGCGCGCGGATCACGGAATCGTATTTTGTTAATAGAACAATAAGTCAATTAGTTTTACCAGGGCCAGATTAAGGGGGTGGCCACGTGGGCCGCGGCCCATGGCGGCAAATTTAGGGGGCAGCAAATTTTGCAATTTTTTTAAATGTAGGTATAAAAAAAATCGGATGCAGAAAAAAAATTATCAATGAGAAAAGGGGACAAAATCTCTCTTTCCTGAGAGTATAGTAATTTCTAATTTTGTCGTTTTTCGGTGATATAATAGACAGCATCTTTAATTAGCCGAGTTCAGAGAGGAACTAAACACGCAATTTGGCCTGGGGCTCAGCGCAGAGAGGAATGATGACGAGGACTTGAGATGAAAAGGACAAGCCCCCGGCGCAGCGGTCGGCATGTAACACATATTAGCGCCTACAAGACTGCATGAATACTTCACCAATTGCGCCAAACACAGTGCGGTCAGGAGCGGTTGGCGCGAAACGCATAGCGCCTACAAGACTGCAGGAATACTTCATGCATTGCGCCACACACAGTGCGATCAGCGCGGCGCAGCGGCGGAAGTTAAAACAATTAAAGCACATTTATGTTTGTTCTTCCAAAATTTTTTTGGTTCATTTCCTATAAATGGAGAACCTTGTCCACACAGAGATAGGTTTACGGAACTTGACTTTCGCTCAAAGCTCCGTGAAATTCTGCTAGTAGTGTTGGCAGGGCTTTCGCAAAAAATGTATCCAACACGAGTAGGTAAACGCGTCTTATGCACCCCTCTCCCTCCGGCACGTTCACTTGATGGTTTTTATTGATGTTTCAAAACGAATGAGGAGGGGGCAGCAAAATACAGGCGGCCCATGGGCTGCAAGTAAGTAAATCCGGCCCTGGTTGAACCATGAATTTTCAACGTTGAATTTTGACTTTATGTTTTTTTTTTTTTTTACGTTGGAACCATCGATCATCGATGTATAGGATGATGTTGCCACGAAAAAAGTCTACCACGACCCAACTTGAAGCTGGATCGAAAATGTGTTTTTTCGCGGGCTGATTGTTGAAATTGATAGACAAAGCGATAGAGGAAGAAGACACAGGGAGTATGGAGCGCTCCAATGTGTTGAAATGGGTGGTTCCCATAGGCTAAGGGACATTTTGTCTTCTTGGTCTATAGCTTTGTTTGTCAATTTTCATTCAGTCAGCCCGCAGATATTGTAGGACAAATATCACAGCGAGACAAGGCTTTGTCGATGAAGGTCACTTGACGAAGGACACTGGAAAAAAAACACATTGGATCTAGAGTCCAGACTCTTGAAAACATTGACAAGAAAAAGTACTCTTGATTCAATCAGATTTAAGCTTAAATCAAAAGAAAATCCGCTCAAATTAGGAGGCTTGGTTCTTGATTTAAGCTTAAATCTGATTGAATCAAGAGTATTTTTTCTTTTCGATGTTTTTAAGAGTCGGGACTCTAGATCCAATGTGTTTTTTTTCCCAGTGCAATAAAGCTTAAATAGTAGACATGCCGGTCAAGGGTTGCGGTTAATTTTTGTTCTTTTTACCCCCTGTTTGATGGTGTGAAGGAACGTAAGATGCTGATATCATGAGTAGAGGCGTAGAGGGAGGAGGGGATATCCCCACGATCTTTAACCCGCACCGAGTGAGAGCACCGCCTAATCTTGTAGTTACAGGGACCGCCTCCAACGGTCCCTTTTCGCCAGCACTCACTCACTCAGATTCAGGTAACATCCTAAGATACGGGATGACATTTTTGAGCACGCGTACTTAGTCTGCATGCTGCATGCTTAGCCAGTTTTCAATCCTCAAGCATGAAATAATTAGAGTCCCTATGTAATACTGAGAGTAAAGACGATAAGAATCTATTTCTGATTCAGAGACAAGAGACCCTCCACAAGTATCTTGGCCATTGTGGAAGCTTTTACTTTCGGGACTTCAGCATTCTACTGTTGACTTACCTACATGGTTGATGTTTAACAACGTGTTGGCAGTTTCGTTTTGCAAACAAGTCGAAAATGGCCGAAGTTTGCGAAACTTGTTTGGCTCATGACGTCACCCGAAGCTCATCATTGTAAATGTAGGTAGGCCAACAGCCGAAATTGAGGTGATGACTGTTGCTCCCTAATAATTGTCCATAAGGAGCTGTTGAATCCCCAAAAGTAAAATCTTCCACCTGTCGCTAGGAGGCCAGTGGAGGGTGTCTTGTCTCTGTTCTGATTGCACCCCATATTTTAAGTCTCCACGGTGTCACACACGGGAATAAAGATTAGACTTTCACCAATTGCAAAGATTATACTTAAACTGGAATGGACCGGGGAATGGAGATGTTGCATGTGTGAGGATTTTTGCGATTTGACTGTTGATTACTAAGTAAACGTTGGCGAGAAATACGATGGTGCTCCTGGTTTTCTCTGAAATCAACTCCCAAGCTCAAAAAAAAGCTCTCAAGTTGAGGCCAAAATGGAGGGGATATCCCACCCTACAAGAGCAAATACATTAGCAGGGTTGCCACTTTATTTGGGGACTCGAAAACTGAAAACACGGCAACCCTGCTAATGTATTTGCTCCCTATCTTTGCATGGGGAGTTTGTCTTGATGTAGAGGTGGACTCTCAGGGTAAGGAGGGATATCCCCTCCATTTTGGCCTCAACTTGAGAGCTTTTTTTGAGCTTGGGAGTTGATTTCAGAAAAAAACCAATAGCACCGTCGTGTTTCTCGCGAACTTTTACATAAGAATCGACAGTCAAATCGCAAATTCCTCACACAAGCAACATCTCCATTAGGGGCCCGGCAAGGAACAAACGGAATGAGAGAGGGAACGGAGATAGGAATTCGGGAATGAGTTGATCAAAGATTACGAAAAACGCTCCATTTGTGTAATCTTGATTCTCGTTTGTGACATCCATGAGCCGTGTTGTCTCAACTCTCTCTGTAAAGGGACTCTAGAAATAATCACCATCGAAATGGGTTGACGGTGGGTGCCATTCAGTGGGAAATTTCATCCCTCCTCTGACGTGAGGACGGATCTCTATTTTCACATGACCCACGGAAAGCGAAGGGATACACGGAGAACAGGGCTCACATGGAATTCGGGATACGCCATTACATTAGCTCCTCCATTGAAAGGAGCGACGATTAGAGAACTGTAAGGTTCGAACTAAATCACTCCGTTACGTGGTTTTCTCTTCCGAACGCGGAAAAAATTATTCGCATGTCGTAAAGTGTGGAAAACAAATCGTATGAAAATATCATTATTTATAATTGTATTAGTCAAATGGTAAAAATACAATTGATATCACGACTATGATATTTTTTTTCTATTTGATAAATGTTAAAAGTACACATGTTAATATCTTGCTCGGATATTTTCATCTGAACTTCCCATCTCGTGATTCGTTTTCTACGTTAAACTTTGAGAACAAAACGTAAAACGTGGTGCTTTATTTTTTTATTGTCTGCGTAATGGGCCATTGCGGCATATTAGGAATTACGGTTTATTGTTCGAATCCTGTAGATGAATGAATTTTTGTTTTCTGTTCATTTACTCTGCTTGTTTCCGAATTCAAGACTTTTATGGTATGAAATGGGTAGCTGCTAGTATGGATTTAAGGTCACCAGTATAGATGGTGGAACTCTATTAACATGTGATACGATCTTCTAGATTAATTTTTTTGTTTTATTTATTTGCATGAGTTGTTGGTCAATATTTTCCCTTTCGTTTTATTGTTACTGGCTCTTCAAGAATGCTCATCATCTTCATGAGAACTTATATAGATGTCAAAATTACGCTTCAGAAATTCCGTGCAAATAATTAATCGATGGAAGTTTTCTCCATTTAATTTTAATCTAATTTTCTCCATGGGTGAATCGAGACTCTTATGGAACAGAACCTTCGATTCTCTGAACTAAATTTTGGTTCAGTCAACCAAAAAATCAGCTCGCGCAACAGAGAGCACTGCCATGCTAAGGAAAAACGCCGTATGAACCTTCCGGCGTTGCCAAGTTTCTTCCAATAAAAACCGAATTAACTGGGAAAATTGTGAATATTTTTCCTCAAATTTTTCAGGCAATTTTGTTCACGATCTAATCTAAAATAACTGAAAATTTCAAGGAGAAATATGCATAGCTTTCCTCAAAAATGCATGTTTTATGCGGAGAAATTTGGCAACTCTCGAATGTTCATACGGCGTTCTTCCTTCGCACGGCAGAGCAGTCCTCCGAGCACAAAAGCGCCTACTGAACTTCTCGGTTCGTGTATCCTAGGTTTTTCTCCACGAACCTAAGCATGTTTTATGGGGGTGCGGCACGTTCCAAGTCGTATTTTTCGCAATTCACGTCAACTTCTCTGATTGATGGGTAAACTCTCCTTTGGAAAAGTCCATAGAGGAAGCGGTTGAATAGGCGGGCACCCACCCACCCACCGTGGCGAATTCCAGGTTGAAATCCGCGTAACTAGCGTTGGTTCTCGCGGTAAAATTTGGATGTTTAGCGGTGCAGCGGCAGCGATGTGCGAATCAAAAGCTTCGTTGGCAGCCGGAAGATTAATGTCCGAGGGCGGGGAGCTTTTCGCGGGGATGGCCCGAAAACCGTCACTCTTAATCAATTCGCCGCATTAGGGGGTGTTAATGTCGCCCCTCGGCCTGCGGTCGCGGTCGAGTCAGTCGCTGGATATCTTTTTCAATTCGAGGCTCACGTATTTGCCTGTGAATGTACTGCCGCAGTTTGCGAAAAGCACCGGTAAATGCATGGCCATGGCGTGACTTAGTTGATGCCATGTGGTTTTGCACGAAATGTGATTGTGAACGTCCGTAAAACCAAATTTTGCATGATAAAGATTTTTTGTCATCACTGATAAGAAAAATTCGATCATGTGAACCAAACGTCCGGTGTTCCATATCATCCCAAATATTCGGTTCCAGAGTGAACTTCACTGAAAAAAAATTCTCGGCGTTTTTACCAAGGTCCGTTGGTACCTTTACCATCTCACTTTTTTTTACCAAGTATTGGTGATTTTACTAAGACAGACTGGTAAGCTTACCTAAAAACCGGTATTTTTACTGTTTTTTTTTTAGGTAAGAATACTACTTTTATTGGTGATCAATTCCCGGTAACTTTGCCATTTTATCTCGGTAATCCTACCACAGTCGATAAAAAATATTGGCGTTTTTACCAAGGTCCAGTAAAATTACCAAGAAAGTTCAATAATTTTACCGAGATTTCTCGGTAAGATTACCAATTCCATAAATGGTAATTTTACCAAGAAAAAACTGGGATCAAATAGAGCCCTGAATTTTTGGTAATTTTACCCTTTTCTTAGTAAATACACCGAGATTTTTTTTTCAGTGCGTGGCTCAGTTGATTCCATGTGGTCTTGCACGAAATGTGAACGTCCGTAAAACCAAATTTTGCATGATAAAGATTTTTTGTCATTACTGATAAGAAAAATTTGGTCGTGTGAACCGAACGTCCGGTGTTCCATATCATCCCAAGTATTCGGTTCCATAGTGAACTTTCGGTTCGTGTAACCAAACGTTCGGCATATATGACCAAACAGCTTCAGTTCTCTTTGATACACAAGTTCGGTTTGAAAAACCGAAAATTCAGTTGGACAAACCGAAAATTCAGTTTGACGAACCGAATTATTTGGGATGATACGGAACACCGAACTTTGGTACGTGCGACCGGACTTCTTTTTCAGTGAAATGAGTTGAAGGGTCTCAATATTAGTTATCGACGGGAGACACTCTATTATCCTGAAAAATGAGTTGACTTATTAAACCGGAACTACACTGATTTTATCAGACCCTGCCTAATTTCCACTCAAGCTTCATTTTTTAAACAGAAAACTGAAAACGAAGCGACGCTGAAACTTGAAATTTGCGAGTAAAATATGCTTCATAATCTCGGGTATATTGAAAGAAAGTTTCGGCAAGCTGAAGAGAGCCGGAAGGCGGTGAGTAGCTTATTAGTTCCCTGTAAAAAAATAAAGCATAAGAGGAAATTAGATGAAGAGAAGTACTTACAGTTAATTCCGAATAAATTTCTCCAGTTAAAAGTTGTTCCGTTCATTCGTTTCCAAAAGAGAAAAAAAACTCGCATTTTAATTTTACGAGTTTTAATTCACGTTGTTTTGCTTTGAAGTACTTCTGTAAGATTTCTTTGTGATTAACTTATTTGCCTGAAAGGCGATGATAGCCTCACCCTTCTCTTAATACATTTTTTATGTGCAAAGGACGTGATAGCCTTTTCTATTTATGTCGAAGGCATAATCTTAAAATGAAAAATAGGTGTAGTTTTAAAGGGTTCTCATACGTTTTTTGGGGATAGAAGTATATGTTTGAGTAAAATATTAGTTTTAACGTAAAAGACCGTGACCTTGCCCAATTGATGAAAACTACGGTTGTGAGATTAAATATAAAATATCGACAGATAGAGGGAGAGAGAGAAAGAGATGAATATAAACATAATTGAAATCACCTCTGATAAGATTTAGTGTGTGAACGTATCTTTGTAGTATTTTAACTGAATTTTAAAGTATGGCCTGTTTACTTAAAATTCTAGTGTCCGGCAGTCAGAATAAAGACTCCCTTCCAGATGAATCAAGACGTGGAGGTGCCGGGGAAAAGCTGAAAAGCTGTAGAAACTCATGTTGTTCAAAATCTGCCAAAAAGGTAATGCAACCTTCCTTGTGATAAATAGCGCATTTTGTTGTTACAAATGATTGTCTCATTAAATCTTCCTTTCCCAGGTAGAAGCAAAGAAAATATTCAAAAATCCTGTGGTGTAGGTTTCCTACAATGTATCGCCTTCGGGATTCGACACGATTTTATTCCGATGCAATGTGCTTAGCAAGCAAGATCTAGTTTGACAAACTAGCTTCATAAATGGCTTAATCCAACTTGCATCAATATTTAAAATATTCAATAAGTTTTACTCATCAAATATCGTGAGGTGGAAAACTGAGTAAATCATAAGTTTTTTATCGCCCATAAAAAGTCCTTGGATAGTTTCTGCAGATTCACTGAATTATTTTGTGCGTAGTAGAGACGGATCCAGCAGGTTGGTAAAATTGGCCTCCTTACATTTAAACCTGTGTTGAATAATCGATTCTTGTCGGAGCACTCAGTCCCTCCAAAAATCGATACATTTCCATAGGTGTTAATAAAGAGAAAACAATGTTGCGAACTTGCTGGACCTGACCATGGCTACGTGGTATATAGTCCTAAACACAAAATTCCTCCTTTCCTGGCATCAAAAATACTTCTCATTGCGATCTGGCAAGATTGATAACCCCCTCATTACTTCAAATTGAGCCAAACCAGCATCAGCACTGATTGTTAAGGCCAGCCACAAATGTCAGGAGATGTCTCGATGTATATTTTGACGGTGAAACTTCCAAACCAAGTATCTCGTTTGCAGTGTTTTAAATATCTCCGTGCCTGTTTTATATTTTTGAAGGAGGACAAATGAACATCATTCCTTGAAATTATTTCAGAATTTACTGCGCACACGAGGAAAGAAAACTCCCGGAAGTTCTTAAAAATTGACGTTGAGTAATGCTTCATTTAAAAAATGAAGTATGACATCAGGAGGTCTGCAACGTCCGAACTGAGATTCGTGATTTGGAAGTTTCACCATTGATTTTTAAGTAGTTTCGCGAAGTTCGTTAAAATTCAAATGCGCATTGCGGCAGGTATGATTCCTTCACATTGCTGATAAAACTCGATGACCATCCACCATCAGCTTACGCAAACTTCTTTTTATTTTACAGATATATTTTGGAGTATGTGTCACAGTATGCGTGACAGCCTCATGGGTGGGCTCAACTCACTCTTTCAAGTACCTTTATTACATCGGAAACAAAACACATCACCATTACAACCCACATAGCAATTTTTCATCCACACATCAATCAAAAGTGAGTAAATTTTCTCATTTGTTGAGCGCCTTGGGTACTCAAAAGGTTGAATTTTCTTCAAATTGTAAGAGAATTCTCTTCAAAAACTCATTTTTTTCTGCTGTCCTTCCATTTTTTTTTAATTTTAATTTTTTTCAGCCTAATGCCTGAGGTTCTTGTTCTCAAAGGCTTTCTATGTGTTTTTCAAAATCTTGGTTGGACATGTAGTATCTATAATTGTGTTCTATCCTAGTGATTGAGCACATAAATTGAAGCCCTGCGACCCCTATAATCTTCGACGCGACTTTAACGTGATCATTAGTAGGAAGAAACTAAGGGACTCAAGAATTCAAGGCGGAGTGATACAACTATTTCAACTTTCCGTTAGCTCAAATTGCATACCCTCCGATCTGAAGGCGCACTCAAAGTCATGTCTATGACCGCGCCTGCCCACTTCACTAACGGTGAATAAAATATTGGTGAAGGGACGGCAAGGGACATGACTGGACACAGAAGAAGAAGCACAGATAGGATAATTTGATGATAAATGCAAGTGTCTCTGTTTACAACGTTGTACATTATTCCTATCATACTTTCTTATTATTATTAGAGAAGAAACCTGCAATTTTTCCGCCTTAAAATTAGAGCGTCTATGAAAGTTAGTAAAAAAAAACCGCTCTAGCTTTCTATCGTTCTCCTTCCCTTTTCTCCTCCCCCCCCCTTACAAATGAAAGAAAACAATTATTCTCCGGCTTATTTCAACCAATGATCAACCCGCATCGCGGAAAAAGAGGAAAACTTGGTGGCATTAATTTTGATTGCATCCAAAATTTTCAATTTTTCTCTTTCAAGTTTTAATTTTCCGACGTCTATGTAAGAACGATCGCAGAATTTTAAAAGACGGCGAAAGATTTCGAGAAAATCTCGATGTTCTTCGTATTAAATCTTTGGTAAATCCCTTTTTTCTGACAATCTTCCTGTGAGCGAAATGTTTTCCCAAATCGTCTCAGGTGCCGGCCATGTTACCTTATGCTGAGTTACTTATAGACTAAAGATTAGGTTGGGTCTATTTTTTTTTTATTTCTTTGGTTATGTTTGTATACCCTGATGATTTCTTGATGATTTCATCGTCATTTCAATAATTAAAATTTTCTTGATTTCAATGATTACTTTTTCCTGGTTGGTTTCTTCTTGGTTTAAATATATAAATAAATAAATCCACCTTTCGCTTCGAAACGAAGCAACTAAAATGCGTATTTGCGCAGTTTCGTCATCACATAGAGACACGAGAAAACGATCATGATTGATTTTCCGGGCCGCGAAGCAGGACCCTGAGGACGAAAACGGAGCTAATTCTAAATTGATAAAAACATGAAGGTCAAAGGCGTTTCCGCCTCACGCGACGGTGCTGCTTAACCCTGCTCCACCCTCTAACTACACCAATACTTATCCGCAAATACACCATCACGTGCATGAGTAAGGCTTGTCCCTATTAACATCAATTTACTCACATGGAAACTGATAAGCCTAACACGTTCAAGAATTCGCTGGCCCATAAACAGTTCAACTGATTTTGCATGCGAATCGCTCTTCAGGGGCCTTCCATTCTGCTGTTTGAGGAAAAACACAGTATGTAGAATTGGATGTTGCCAAGTTTTTTCTGAAATATACGGGCATCTCTGAAAACTAGCGAAGATCTTCCTCAATACCGTTTGCAATGCCGATATTCATAACGGCATGACGCTAAGCAACAAAAGTTGACTCATGAAAAAAATGTCTAAAAAATCAGGCATGACACATGATTCAACATTGATTTTTGGACAAATAATACAAAAATGAATATTGATTGGAGAGTAGACATCATGCTCTCCAAAAATATTCGGTTACTATGTAAGTAACAACGGCCTTTCATTATTTAAAGCTGGTTTACTGACCGCGCATAGGAAATAATTTGCATTTCGACGGTGTAAGTCAGCAATCACATAATTCGTTTGCGGTGTCTGAAAATCTCCGCCTCTATGTTATTTTTTTAAACGAGAACAAATTGACATCATTTCTTGAAGTTTACGCAGAATTTTCTTCGCACAGAGAAGAAAAATTAAGGAAGTTTTAAAGAAATGCCGTCGAGTAGTTTTCTCTTTAAAAAATAACGTACGACAGGAAGTCTGCGACGTCGCAAACCAAGTTATGTGATTGCCGACTTACACCGTCGATTTGTACGTATGTTAGATTGAGCATTAAGTTTGATAATTGAGAAGTAAAGTGTAAAAAAATATTAAAGTACGTTTGTATTATTTCGTGGAAAATGTTTCGAGGCTGGAAAATTACGTAAGATTTTGAATTTAAAATAAGTTTAAGGCTGTATTGTAAGACTATAACAATCGAGATATGACTTTCAATGTTCGCATTTGATTTTGAGACTAAGTTTACTCGACACAACTGGTTCCTCAATTTTACCAAAATTGTCAATCGACATCATTATGTTTCGAATTATTCAAGTTCAACTTTCAGATTTATTCTTATAACCTTCAATACTGCCTTCATTTCTGAACTGTATTTACCTTTTATTCGACATTGCTCACTCACTTTAATCGATTTGTAATTGCAGCTAGTTCATTTTGACGCTCCATTTTTTACTACATGGTTCTGTACAGCATGGACCACACTATTTTTCCCAATTTATTTCATATACCAATTAACTGTAAACAAATGTACGTCCACGCCAGAACTCATTCGAGAAAGCTTCCAAAATTTTAGAGACAAAGGATTCACAACAGGTAAGAGTACATTCATATTTTCGATACGGTTTTTTTATACATATATGAAAGAAGAAAAAAAATCATTAAAAACTCTTTGTTTCCGCTTCTTGACTTGAACAAGCTTAAGAACTATTTTGCTCTAAATCTTCTATGGGTATCAAACGATTTTATGGTATTAAATATATTCACGACTCGTTTCCCTTTGAATTCATAGCCAACTCAAACAAGACACAAAATGAATCGTGCTGAGTACTTTTCTGTCACAAAAATTTTTCTTATTGTTGCATTACTGGCGGCATGACACCTACCGACTTTACGTTCTATCTCACGCTTGTAGTGCGATCAAGAAGGCTTAGGTTTTGAAACTTTAAATTTTCACGCATTTGTACAGAGAAAATTGTTTACTTTTATCAAAAAGAGGCCAACTACTTAATAAAGGCCCAATCATTCAAGCTGTTTTTTGATTTGTATTTTTTATTTTTCGAAAAAATAAAATGCTGAAGAAATACCCTTAAAAAGTTTTGATCCAGAATGATATATAAAAGGACATATCCACAGCTCGTCGTAAGGGCCCTCCTCGCCCGAGTAGTGTGTTTGTGTGGAAGTAGGCCGTGGGACTGGAAGGGGCCCCGCCGAGGGCGGGGGGGGGGGGGCTCTCCTGCTCCCCGATGATTACCTAAATGTTATATGGAATGCATTTTGCAATTAGGAACTATAAATTCCGGCCCGGTTTAAAAACAACGTATGTGCCATTAGTTTCCCTATGCACATGAGCGTTTTTTTCAGATGAGCCAGAATTTATAGCTACAAATTGCAAAATGCAGTCCACATGATCTAAATTTCTGGAGGATTAATTGAGGGGCTTGGAGGAAAAAGCGCATAAGAGCAGTTTTTGAAAAAATAGAGATATTAATGATTTAAGTAAAACTAGTCTTCATGTATGTTCTGTGAAAAATTTGCTCTTAGATTCCAATTTTTAAGCATCAAAAAGTCAGTTTGAACTTTCTTTCCGCCATTAGGATCCGTGCAATTTCGAAACTTCGAACTTATATTTCCCGAAATAGCAAAAACTGCACTTTGTACGAGCCTTCGTCCTCCAAGTCCCTCAATTACTGTACCTAGCTGATATGCATGTATATCTTAGACTGTCACCGTTCCTCCTCCAACCACATGATAATTTTATGAAAATGACTCAGGGTTCCTTCTTGCAGACCAAATACTTTTATCTGTTTTTTGACGATGTGAATATAAATGTAATTTTCCCCGTCAATTTTTACAAGTATCAAAATTTACCGCGTGCGAGAGCGCAATTTTCCGATTCCATCGAATAAAAGTCATTTTAATTCATTTTTTTCTCAATCCACAGCTAGGTTCCTCACAAGATGCAGTTTATTCTGCATGCTATGGGTCGGCACGAGTTACATGTTTGTTTATTCATTGCGGATATTACTGGCAACAGAGGTGATGGCCCTTTTTGCAACCAACGTGTCTTGTGTCTACCTCTTATCGTGGGTAATTTTACACCAACAGTTTGTCGGAGTCCGGGTAAGATTACTTTTAGGTTTTCACAAGATTAATTTGCCAACTTATATTCTGACTGTGCCTGAGCCTAATCAACCCTTAGATGCCCAAGCCTGCGGGCCGATTGTTGAAATTGATAGACAAAGCTATAGACAAAGGAGACATAGGGAGTATGGAGCGATCCTATTGGTTGAAATGGGTGGTTCCTATAGACAAAGGGAGAAAATGATAGACTAACTGTCGGGTCTCTCGTGGGTTGCCGTTAGTTAGTCTATTACCTACCTCCTATGTCCATTGCCACCACTCGCTTCCACCAATAGGATCCCTCCAAATCCCTTTTGTCGTCTTTGTATATAGCTTTGTCTATCAGTTTCAATAATCAGCCTGCTGGTTAAATTGACCCGAGGCTTCCTGAAAACACATCGCCCGTGGATTGTATGAGGCTGCTGCATATGAGCTTTAGATGTAATTCTACAAAATGCATCGTAAAAAAAGGGTGTTAATTTTTGTTGACAACTACCCCTAGAAATCCCAAGCCAGGATAAATTGACCCGAATATCTTCTCTGCGGGTGTTATGACACCGGTATATGCAAGTTTTATTCGTAGGTCATCATCAAACGTAGGTCATTTGACGTGGGTCAAATACATCATAGAAAAAAATAAGACATTGAATTGAAAAAGAAGGAGAGAATCTAGTGTCAACCCAGCCGAAGATCAGAGAGATGTAATCGGATCTCGTGTTTTAACTTTTCTCCCGAATCTGAGCGACATCTTAATGGCAGCTTGCTATAGAGCGGAGTTCACGCCTTGCGCCATCGCGCCTTCAATTTTGCAGACGCAACACGGACATCCATTAAGCACGAATAGTTGTATCTCAGCGCCGCATCAACGCGGGTCCTGTCACACCTGACTCGTTCTCTATTTTATTTCCAAGTTGTGTCGTTCCGTTCCGTTTGCCTGATCTGTAGTGGTGCCTCAAGAGCTACCTAAGCAACAATAGCGAAGATAGGAGAGGCGTAATTGCTGATCGAGCCTCGTTTTTTAACTTTTCTCCTGAATCTTAACCGGGTCCCACGTCGCACAGTGGAGAGATCGGACATGAAATATTTGACTAAAACTGCAAATTTTGACGTTTATTTCGTCACATTTTAAATTTTAAGGGATGCTTCTGACAGTAAATTTTACGAGGAAACCATAAGAGCCACTTTCAGAACCTCAAAATTTTGTAAAAATGGAATTATAAGCTTTTAAAGTTTCCAAATTTTGTCCGACCTGCTCTATTGACTCGGTCCACTGTGGGTCGGGTCAAATTGATCCGACTTGGGATTTTGTGTTTAAACATGTCTTTTGCATCTAAAGGTTAATAAAAGTTTTATTGTTCAACGAGAGATAATTTTAAGCTCCGCTTGTATTTTATATTCACTAATTATTTTCCTTTCATCTATGCAGTGCAACTATCAATCCATAATTGGACGGAGTTAAAGAGAAAGGAACCAAGCCACATCGGGATCGAACCGAGAAAAAGAGGTTTAAAGTTTAGCTCCTGCATAAGACTCAGTGTAAAAGATAAACTTCAGGTTCAATTTCTCCAAAATTTGCTCCCACCAGTACTTTGAATTTTTGGCGATCGATAGGAGAGTAGTGGTTGAGTTCAAAACCACTCATAACTCAATTTTTTCCAAATTGTGGGTTGGTTCCTTTCTGCTTAACTCAGTACAATTTTAGGAGTAAAGAGACACGTGCCATTATAAAGCTATTGTAGGCTATCAGTATATGACCGACTACTTCTTCAAGATTTACATATTCTCTACCTTGCGGATTAACATATGAAAAATAACAGCCACCGCAGTGACCCGAACATCCATATGACTGCACAACAATGGAACCCTAACATTAGTCTAATCACGCGACCTCCAATAACACCAACGCAAAAATTGAGATTCCCTGAGATGAAGTAACAGCCTGTCATTCGAATTATAACGAAGAAGGTAAAGTCCGCCCATCATGAAAAAATCTGGAACCAAAACTTGAAAAAATATATGGAAAGCTAAAATAAAAAAAAAAATGTTCGTCGTTCAAAAATCCTCAATGGTGCTTCTTTTTTTTGTTATTGACAAGTAAGAAGAAAAAATATCACATTAATATTATATATATATTTTTTTTGATGAATTAAGGTATGACATTCGCCGAAAATATTACAGAAAATTGTTGGTAATGGTTATTAGTCGATGGTGATTGGTTTCTCATGGAAATACGCCATGAGCGGAGTTTTACAAAGCCGCTATCAGAAATGCACATCTTTTGACTTCAGCCATTCATACTGTAATAATCAGGAAAGAAAAAATAATATTGATTTGGAAAGGCGAGTAAGTACCTAATTATTTTGCTCTATATTATCATAGATCGTTGCTGTGATTTTATGCGATACTGGCGTGGCTTTGTTGGCGTACATGGACGGCATCACTGACAGTCCAACTTTAGGAGGCGTCGTTTTAGCTGCATCTTCAGCCGCTGGATCAGCAGTTTACAAAGTATGCATACATTATTTTACTATAATCCCATTAACAGCCTTTACATTAAGCTTAAGGCAATAATCATCCTAAGAGGATGTCGATTTATCAATTAAGGTGGTTCGATGGACGCCATATTTTGTGTCAGAACGGCATGCGATATATCGCATCAATTGGTTCCATTTTTTCAGCTACTCGTTATTTTTCTCCAATTTTGAGATCGCAATTCTGTTGTCAGGAGACTAAATCACTCTCTTGCCAATTTTAACAAAGAAATTCAACGTAAGAAAGGCGTGGTTTTTTTTCAGAGAGAAAATAATCTCATTCGAATGCAGTTTCGATAGGTATCAGTATCGAATGCGATGTTTTCTCTCTGAAAAAACCACGCCTTTCTTACGTTGAATTTCTTTGTTAAAATTGGCAAGAGAGTGATTTAGTCTCCTGACAACAGAATTGCGATCTCAAAATTGGAGAAAAATAACGAGTAGCTGAAAAAATGGAACCAATTGATGCGATATATCGCATGCCGTTCTGACACAAACTATGGCGTCCATCGAATCACCTTAACATCGAATTAGTCCTTCAAAAGCTGAGGGAAGATGCTACATTGTTGCGTGGGGCTAAACTGTCACATTCGAATCTGATCATAACGAGATCATATGAGGTGGAAAAACTGAACACCACTAGGCAAATCTATGAATTTAGGATTACTGTATTCAACACGCACAAAGATACAAAGCTTGAGGAAAACATAGGTAGATATTTTTTCTGAATAACAATCTTCATATATTTTCTTCCGATTGCAGGTGCTTTTTAAGAAGGTCATAGGAAATGCCAGTTACGGACAAATAGCGCTCTTCTTTTCTGTGATCGGCCTAATAAACGCAGCTCTACTGTGGCCTCTTTGCCTGGCGCTTTACTTCACTGGCGTCGAAGTAATCCACTGGGATCAAATACCGTGGCCTGCGTTACTTTCCGCAAGCATACTATCTCTTGGTGAGTGCACGAGAATATATTTGTAGAAATAACTTCTGAAGTTTCACTTTTGAAAAATTTAAAGTTAACAAAGCCATTCCAAATAAATTTACGCACTCTTAATGTGACAGAGGAACATCTATCTTCAGTCCAGCGTTGGAGGTAAAAATACAATTATAAAAGATTACGACTCTTTTGTCGCATTCAAAATGTGCGTAAAGTCATTTGACGTGTGCTCTACCACGGTTATGTAGTCTCACAAAAGTGAGCCTTCACTGTACTTTACTTTGAGGCATTGTTCCATCCATTTGATTTAGATGATTGAGTTAGTTAGGTATAACTAACATAAGCTCTGAATTAAAATGGATGCACTCACAAGATGACAAGTTTGACAAATGCTTAGATTGATAACAAATATGAGTGTAGCTACCGACAGAGGGGAGGAGTGGATGGAAAGGGACTATTTATTTTTTACTGAAGTCATGTGACGTGATGTTAGCACATGTTTTTTAACAGATCATGTAGGGTCCGCAGTCGCAAAATTTGTGCAAAGCTAATGGAATCCGTCACATTTAATTTGACAGTGAAAAAGTAAATTAAGAAGACCTCAATATAAAAGCACTCCAGAGTTTAGACACCATATTTGCGACCATCTATAATTGACGTCATGCACTTTCTTTATTATTAGACCTTCCTCCCCTAAATACTTACGCCCTCTTACATGGGAAAAAGGGAAAGAAAGCTTGAGCAATTCGATTTCTACTTTCCTCCCTTCATCCTTTTTATGCACTTTTAGAGACTGTACAGGAGAAGTTTATTTTCTCTAATATGAATAAGCATCAAAATAATAAATTAACTGTTTTTATTAAAACAGTAGCGATTCCTGTTGAAATCGGCGAGACAAGTGCACTAATACAAATTATCACAGAGGAAATTAAGAGAATATTAGCAGAGTACAACCTAACATCTCTGCAGAAAATAGTAGTGCTACAGGAGGGGTGGCCCTACAAAAAGCGAAAAGTCATGAATTGAAGCGATGGCCCCAGAGGTCTAATTTACCTCCGGCAATCGGCTGTAAAAGAAACCGTCTCTTTAAAAAACGAGAAGATGACTACAATAAATAAGAAATAATAGACACAAATAATACTCAATAGGCTCACACTAGGTATAATAAAAAAAATTCAGAAGTTTAATGTAGTCAAAATAAGAAAATAATAAATAACAGAATGCACTTGCGAATTGCGACTACTACCTAACCAGTATCCTAACCTACCAGTATCTTGACAAACGGAATAAGACAGGACACAGAAATTCTAATAAAGTAACAAAATTGTAAATTTGAATTTCTTTTATTTGATAAAATTATTTTTTTCCCATTCATTTTAAATTTCTGTTTTCACAATTCTACCAACCACCAAAGAAAACTTTTACATACAATTTTAATACAATTTTTTACATACAATCTTCTTTCTTTTTGAAAAAAATACAATTTTCTCCAATTAGAAAGAAATTAAACAGTTGCTAACGGTGTTTCGTACCTTTCTACATGCAATAAAAGTATTAAACTAGCAGTCGATGTCTAGAAAGTAAATACATTAAAGTTACATAAGCTCTGTAAGAATACGGCATTATCAACTATCTGCACTGAATTATGATAGATGCACAGAGACGTTCATTAGGTTACCAATGCTGAACCGATTTCCTTGTGGCATAAACAAAATGGACCACTAGACAAGGTACGAATTTCAGCATTCTGATACATGTCTCTTTACCAAAATTTTACGTAAAACACGATATGCGCACAACGAAAATTACCGAAATCAACTCCTTCCGAAGATATTTAATGATTCTTGGTGCGTGAATTGAAACCACCCGCTCATGAAAACTCAATGATCTACGCGATTCACATCGCGCGCTAAACGTTATCATGAGCGTCTCTGCGATTAAAAAATCTGGCAACCTCCATCTTGACACTTTTGCTCAGCTTTGCAAATTACTTATAGTTTGAAAAACACATGGTGGGAAATGAACATTACTCGATTGAGAAGCTTGTTGAAACCGTTGTAGTGCGCAATTTGACTCACGTAGAGCTTTGAGTTTCTTGTGAGCGGGCAGTTCAAATTCCTCGTAACCAATATGAAATAAAAATGTTAATATCTCCGTTAGGAGTTGGTTTCAGTAATTTTCGTTGCGCGAATCGTATGCTACGTGAAATTCTGGTTAAGAAGCATGTATCAGAATGCTTAAATTCGCACCTTGTCTAGTGATCCATTTTGAAGGCCGTTCGCATATATTCTCCTCAAAGTTCAAATATTCGAGTATCTACTTGAAAATATCGTTTTAGGAGTCTTTCCGCCGATAAATTAAAAGATGAGGTACTTAAGGCGTGCAAATCTACCGCGGAAGTTAACGACTGAAGTTGGCTTGAAGATTTGCTGAAAGATATTAATAGAATTTCAAAAATTTTTTGAACGCAACATTATGATTTTGTCGTTGATCCTCAACATGCATCGTAGATTTGCGCGCCTTAAGTGAAAGGCTTGGAGGACAAGGCGCAAGTGCAGTTCCTGCTATTTTGAGAAATACATGTTTGAAGTTTCGAAATTACACGGATCCTGTGGTGCAAAGAAAGTTCAAACTGACTTTTTGATGCTTAAAAATTGGCATTTGGGAGCGAATTTTTCTGAGTATGCATTAAGACTTAATTTTACATGAATTCATCAATATCTCAATTTTTTCAAACACTGCACTTACGTGTCTTCTGCACCAAGTCCCTCAAATGTACTTCGGAGGTGTGAACAATCATTTATTGTGAGCATAACGCTTCATTGCACTCGCCAAGAAGGAACAACTTTGTTTTTTAGACGAGATTATGAAAGTAAATACAAATTTGGATTAAAAAAATACAGATTCCTACAATTAGCCAAATGCCTTTGTTTACAATCTAATTAAGAAGAAGAAGAAAAAAAAAGCATAGAACAATATGAGCACTTGGAGATACAAGTGCAGCGCGTCGGCAAGCGTTGCTAAAGTATCTCGTCGGCTATTCCAAGTACAAATCGACCTTGCTACGTCAAGAATAGTCATAACGTCTCCCAAGTAGGTAGCACAGTGCACCGATAATATTGAAATTAAATTGCAATTTGATTTCAATAAAATTGTAATTATTTTACCATCAAATTGCAATATTTTTACATCATTTAGTCAATTTATGACGATTTTAAACAATCAACAGAATGAGCTTCATGTGTCAGAAAGATACGCAATATGCAATGCAATGAAAAATTTCAACTCATTTCAATTTTATTGCAGGAAGTTTCAATAAATAGAACCCCTTCAAATAGGAGCTGGGCAACATACACAACACTCAGTGGAATTGCAATATTTTTACAACGTAATTGCTACTTATTGCAATTCGTGCTACTTTTGTCTATAACTTTTGCATTGATTAATTGTCTCCAATACGCTTGTCGGCAAAACATGAATATTGGTTCACAGGTCATTGATACGATCAGAAGAAAAGTAACTCTTCACAGTTTTTCCCATTTCTTTCGAATTCTCTTTAATCAAACGCTAAGTCATTTTGGATCAACTCCGAAAAAATCTAAATTCTTCATCTGTAATCGATGTATTCGCTTTTGTCTTCGCGTGGCATTTGCACACATTTACTCTAAAATAAAAATACACCATAGAAACCCAAACTAATAATATACAGAAAATATACAAATTCTTATATTTTAAATCGAATATTCGAGCAAGTTTGCGAAGAAACGTGGCACTTCTCCAAAATTGCAGAACTTTAAATAAAAAATTCAACGAGAAAAAAGAAGCAATGTAGTTGGAATTTCCAGTAATTTTCAATGGAATTGTTTCTAGTTTCACGCTTCAGTACGCGTAAATGAGCTAACTTTCGTTCGTCAAGATTACTTGCCTGTGAGAGATAAACCAAATTGGGAGGAGCGGCAGTGAGAACTAGAAGATCGCATGTGAAACTTTTCATTTTTATGCAAGAGAATGGTCAAAAACTATCAGTTAGTGTTTCATTCATTCATGAAAGGTGCTAAAAGGAGGAGCATGAGACATAATAGTTTGTCTATGCTATCGACCCCTGTGTAGGTATTACTACCAAAACCAGCACCTATTTGTCGGCGATTAGCCGAGGGTAAAACCCTCGTTTCCACCGTCCACCACGAGGAGGAACCGACATCAGACGGCAACGCTTCCACCGTCCAACTTACAACTCCCATGGCATTACGTTAATTTGAAATTCAAAATTTTGAAGAAATTTTGAAGAAATTGAGAAGAAATTTTAAAACTCAAAGGCATGGGGCTCATGCCTTTGTTTCACTCGAGATCGGATGCCCTATAGCCGGTCCGGACCGACCAGTTTCCTCCTTAAGATCTCTTCTCCGTTCTGCTTTTTTCACACGGACTCCCGCGCGAACGAAGCACAACGGATCTACTCAGTTCCTACGAGATCAGAGGTTTAGTCGAGTGAGATTTAGTAAGGATGACCAGTGACCTCTTCAAGATCTCATGCCATGAAGAGTTGGGTCGGCGTTCTGGGCGCACCCTCACTCACAACAGTGAACAATTCGCCAATGACCGAATGCAGGGAACTCCTCTACCACCGTGCGATCCAGCAGTGAGACAACAAACTCGTAGCTGGATACTCTCTACAGAGATAGAGATTGCTGAAACTTTGTCCGGCTTGTTCGGCCCAGGAGAACAGAATACCCTGAGCCACGAGGCCCCGGAACTCTCGTGAAGTATTCGGCTCTCCTGCATCAAAACCTACTTCAATCTGCAACATCGCCCCAACCACCAGCCCGTTTGAGAGGCGTCCGACCCTCCGGTTCCGACTTTGCCTGGTCTAAAGTGTCCCGGGGGGATGACGGCTTTAGACTTAATGCGCAAGCATCGGCAGATACCGGAGGTTGACCAGAACAGGATTGCCAGGCTTCGATCGGTCACCCCTGCATTTGGTCGCTGACGAATCGCGCAAAGTCGGTCACAGATCGGGATTTTCAGACCACTGTGTACCGGTTGATCCTTGCACCTCGCGGTTCAAGGATATGGCCTAACTACTATCAGTGGTCCTCTGAAGATCATCGTTCCCCTCATGTTCCTCAGGTTCCGCTTGATCTCTTCCGTAAGCCATGGATATGGGCTAAACCAAGGTAATAACGTACCAAGGTTCAGCTTGATCCAAGGCTGCAATGGATATGGCCTAACATCCAAGGTGTAAACAGCCTTGCGCGAAGCAGGGCACCAAGGAAGCGGTTGATCCATGCCCGAGCGTATTAGGGATATGGGCTAACAACCAAGGTAATAACGTACCAAGGATGCGCTTGATCCTAAATCGCTCTATACGATGTGTGCAAGAGATATGGGCTAACAACCTGAGGCGAGGGAGGGTGCAGAATCACAACAGGTTTGCCGGCGTTTGGCACGGGTCGGAGACCCGTCCCAGGTCCACCACGAGGAGGCTCCGGCACCAGACCCGCCCCCCTCTCATTTTCATCTCATTTTCATTTTCATCTCATTTTCATTTCATCTCATTTTCATTTTCATCTCATTTTCATTTCATCTCATTTTCATTTCATCTCTTCCCATTTCCATTTCATCACAACTCATTTTCATTTCATCTCATCTCATCTCATTTTCATTTTATCTCATTATCATTTATCATTTTATCTCATTTTCATCTCTTTTTCATTTCATCCCCTTGTCATCTCCGTTTCATCTCTTTTTCATTTCATCTTCTTTTCATTTCATCCCCTTTTTTTTCTCCTTTATATCTTTTTTTCAACTCATCTCCTTTTCGTCTCTTTTTCATCTCATCTCCTTTTCGTCTCTTTTTCATCTCATCTCCGCTTCTACTCATCTCATCTCCTTTTCATCTCCTCTTCTATTCATCTCGCTCTTCTACTCATCTCCTCTTCTATTCACCTCCTCTTCTTTTCATCTCCTTTTCATTTTATCCCCGTTTCATCTCCTTTTCATTTTATCCCCGTTTCATCTCCTTTTCATTTTATCCCCGTTTCATCTCCTTTTCATTTTATCCCCGTTTCATCTCCTTTTCATCTCCTTTTCATCTCCTTTTCATCTCCTTTTCATCTCCTTTTCATCTCCTTTTCATCTCCTTTTCATCTCCTTTTCATCTCCTTTTCATCTCCTTTTCTTCTCCCTTTTCATCTCCTTTTCATCTCCTTTTCATCTCCTTTTCATCTCCTTTTCATCTCCTTTTCATCTCCTTTTCATCTCCTTTTCATCTCCTTTTCATCTCCTTTTCATCTCCTATTCATCTCCTATTCATCTCTTTAAAGTCCAGATACTAGTTCAAATAAAGCACAGTCACCGATTAAATTTAATCAAATGCATTAGTCTAAAGATGATGAATCATTAACTTTGACAAAAAACGGTGCCTCCATCTGCTGTAGGTAGGATTCAACCTGTCATTATCAGGGGCTGCATGTTGTAATGATTGCAAATCAAATGAATTTCGAATGAAAATAACTCCAAGTATTAATGGAGTCTGTCTTTTCTCATCCGTATGTCTCTATTGTGTCTTACCCACAAGTACTCATAATGGAGTTGATGTTGCTTTTGAGATGCTAAAAAACGTAGCTTGCTTCGATGAGCAGTCAGGCTAGGAGGACACATAGGTAAATAAGAGCACTGGACGTGCACTGCAACTCTAAATTTGTATAGCTGAACTTACGGTATATTTTCCTTTGATTCAATAAAATTGTTTCCATCAAATCTCCGGGCAATCAATTTTTTATCGGTGAAAGAACAAATATCTAATATATTCGAGGCAACACGAATATTGGGAACTCTACCGACGTACGCATGACAATTTCACGGGTCTACTCAGGCGACGCTACGGGGGCAAGCAGATTGACACCTTGGCACCTTGGGTCTCAAGGGTATTACGGCGAAAATATTGTTCAATGGCATCAAACTCTATTTTTAAAACTCCGAATGCACTTTTAGCATCTCATTTTTACTCTCTATATAGATTTTTTTTCTTTATTCATTTATTAATTTGTTTATTTCTTTATTTTTCTTTCTCTCTTTCGCAAGCCACTCATTTCCTTAATCATCCTTTATTTTTTTAATAATGAATGTATGCCAGAGAAAGGAGCATTTTAACACCAAAACAAAAATTGTACTAATGAAAAAGATAGGGGTAAGTAGCTCTAATTTATGCTAGCAAAAATAACTATCAATTATGCAACTATCATTGCTAATTAAAAGGAAGAGAAACGAAATGAAGATAATCAAATGAAGTCACCTGAATAGATGGAAGTTACTGGTGAAAGAGGAGGGTATAGAATTTTCGTGAGTGTTGTGCGTTTGAATTATCAAGAAAAGTTAAAAAAAAATAGTTCGTTACCCATTAGACCTATACCAATCCTCTCTTTAACGAAAACTGAAAGAAAAAAACAGAGAGGACGAGGAGGTTTTAATTATTCGTCCCGTCATTATAGACCCCTGCCAACTCAGACATTCTTTATCTGCTGAGGGGGTTTCCTCTACCGCCCTCAGGCCTTGCCGTGCACCCGGGTCCTGGGTCATTGGTTTCGGCCTTCAAAGGATGCCATGGCTGCCGACCGTCCAACGGAAGTGCAAGCACTACTGCGACCCCAAACCAAAAGCTGCGGTAGCGTACGCCCCCCATTCTAATAAAACTGGACGCTAGAATATTTAAAATCTCCAAGACCACTCTCTGTTTGGGAGGGGGAGGGACTGAAACTAAAGCACGAAAGTTAATTGAAATTTTGTTCTTTTTTTGTTCTGCTTTCTTTTCTTTTTCTCTCTTCTTTCCCTTCTCTTTTTCTCTCTTCTCTTCATTCTCTTCTCTTCTTTTTCTACTCTTTTCCTATTTTCTTCCTGCTCTTCTTTCTATTTTCTTCCTGCTCTTCTTTCTCTTTCCTTCCTTCCTGCTCTTCTTTCTCTTTTCTTCTTGCTCTCTATCTCTTTTCTTCCTGCTCTTCTTCCTGTTCTCTTCATGCTTCTCTTTCTTTTTTATTCTCTCTTTTCTTCTCTCTTTTCTTCATGCTTTCCTTTATCTTTTCTTCTCTCTTTTCTTCTCTCTTTTCTTCATGCTTTCCTTTATCTTTTCTTCTCCCTTTTCTTCTCCCTTTTCTTCTCCCTTTTCTTCTCCCTTTTCTTCTCCCTTTTCTTCTCCCTTTTCTTCTCCCTTTTCTTCTCCCTTTTCTTCTCCCTTTTCTTCTCTCCTTTCTTCTCTCCTTTCTTCTCTCCTTTCTTCTCTCCTTTCTTCTCTCCTTTCTTCTCTCCTTTCTTCTCTCCTTTCTTCTCTTTTCTCCTACCTCTATTTCTTCTCCAGCAGAATAAATCTCACTCAATTGATAAAGTTTTTTGATGCAAGAAAACATAGAATCAATGGCAAATCTTTGGAGGCCCAGCGTTGCAAAATTTCTGAATTTATGTTTGAGAGAGGAGCATTGCAGCCCCAAAACAAAAATTGTATTAATGAAATAATTTATTGCTATGGAATAAAATATTTAACAAGGATGCAACTATCATTACTAATAAAAAAAGAGGAACGAAATGAAGATAATCGATGGAATGTACAATGAAGATAATATTCACAAATTCCATTCTAAATTTTCTTGATTTTCCAAATGTACAACTCTCACGATGACTCTATTCACCCCTCTTTCACCAATAACTCCCATCCATTCTGATGATTTCATACAATCGAAACGAGATACGTGGTTTAGTAGTTTCACCGTCATATGTTAGATACATCCCTGCCGCTCAGAAATTAAAAAAACTGAAATCTTTTTGATAACGCGACACCACAAAAAAAAGAAGCAAAAAAAATTCTTCATTTCTATGGTGTCAAACTATTTTGCAATGAGGAATTAATATTTAAGACTCATTTTTAGAACAGCGCAAGTGCCATTAATGTTCTTATGCAAAATGTAATTGCAATTACATATATTCTGCAATATTCTGCAATTCGTTCGCAATTAATTCTGAGAGCAGGAAGGAGTTGGAGAGATTTTACCGTGATGAAGCGATGATCCGTAAAGTCAGGAGCAGCTCTGACGCAAAGTGAAAATTCTTAGTCTTCGTACACCGCCTTGACGAATGTTGGAGAGACCACAACATACTCGTAACTGCAAAAGAAAGAAAATAATGATTTAATAGATAAATTCTACATAAAATAGTCATACAATAAATAATATCGTTCCCAAGGAGCATAAGAGCAATGGAAATTTGAAAGAATATTACAAGTTAATGGAAAAAACTGCAATTTTTACTATTTAAATTGCATTATTTTTACATCTTATGAATTCCCATTGTAAGCGATCAAATAGTTCTATGTATAGGGCAGTAGGCAATTTGCAATACAAAAAAGTGTGCCTTATCGCGATTTTCTTCTAATAAATTTTGAAAAGAGGAGTCCCCTCAAATGGAGAATAGACAACATACGCATCTTTTCGATCTGATTGCAGTAACTTTCTCATGTAATCGCAATTTATTGGAACATAACTTGCGCTGTTTTTATTTTGAAGCACAATTTGACACCATCCTCCCGCCATCTACCCCTTGACGTGTTATAAAGATGTATGTATACGATCCCTACGGCTCAGAAAAATGGAATTTTATACCGACCACAATAATGGCTCATCTGCGAAATACAGATTGTGGGTTTAACCTGTTAATTTAAAAAGAAAAAATAAGAAAATAAGAAAAAGAAAAATTCCTGGGTTTTGAAATATGCGGCTGGATTGGTTTTTACAGATTTAGGAAGAAAACTTAAGCAAACTTGTTAGCTTTCCTTTTCCACCTCGCGGAAATGCACGGATATTTGCGAAGTATGAATGATGGACCTGTTATGAGAAAAAGCGCAGCGTGTAGGAGGTAATAGGCGTTTACCGTGCGTCATTTCAATTATTAGTATTCTTACTCCACACGCGTCTAGAATAACTTAACAAAAGATTACATGCTCCTCTTACAAGCTATAGTCGCACCTTAGAAAAGTTGAAAAAATGAACGTGCGTAGTAGTAGTAAAATAATTTTATTTTAAAGCGGTGCTTTAGCATCTAAGGCCATTTACACCTCTAAAGAAAAATGAGGATGAACAATGAACATAAGGCCCCGGGTTATAAGATGCCGCCTTCCCAAGTAGCAAAGTGAAAATATTTTATGAAAAAAGAATTAATGGAAAAAATTTAATAAATAAAGACAAAGTAGCTAGCACTATGGAAAATAGACAGAAAATTTAAAGTGAGTGTCACTATTTACCAAAGAAAATAGGTCAGTTTCCTGTCTACAAAATGGATCTATTTTCCGTTTAGAAAATTGATAGGGCTATTTCCTTAAGAAAAATGATCCAAAAACCTAATGGAAAATAGAGAAAAATTGGACATTTTCTTTATCTATTTCTGAGAAATTTAAAATTCAGAAAACAGAAAGAAAAAACACTGAATGGAGACAGCAAAATTTACTGTTTTCCTTGTATTTGACAGATAGGAAATAGAAGTTTTCTAATAATTTTCTTACTTCTATTTGATACATCTATTTTCTTTCCATTTTCTTTCTATTTTATTTTTCTGTCTCGAAAATAGACAGTTTCTAAATTAGTGCCAGACAGAAAATAGGACTCCATGCTATTAGGGTTGTGCTAAAGCCAAAATTGAAGTTTAATTGCCACTACAAGCCTATCCTTCATGAATACTACAAGCTCTACCTTAGAAGGACTTACTAGTCCCGGAAGTTTAAAACGTATCGCAGAGAATGCACGCAAAAGTTTCTATGTATGGTAGGCATGTAATTCTGATTCCAAAACTTTGAACTTTGCGCGAAAAACGATCGCGAAGAGTCTGCAAAACTGTAGGTATACTTCACGCATCGCGCCGCGCCATCTCGCCGAGCTTGCGGTGCAACCTGATGTCTAGTCTCGCTCTCGGTTCTTGAATCTTACAATTAGCCCATTCAACTTGTCTACTCCTGCGTTAAGGTCTTTGAGTCAGCCGAGAAGAGATTCTCCTTCATTTCGTCGATGTGCAATTTGATCACCTTGCAAGTCGAAATAGTCGTATCACGCGTTCAACTTTTGTACTCCTGCGTTAAGGTCTTTGAGTCAGCCGAGAAGAGATTCTCCTTCATTTCGTCGATGTGCAATTTTATCACCTCGGAAGTCGAAATAGTTGTATCACGCGTTCAACTTTTGTACTCCTGCGTTGAAGTCTTTTAGTCGAGGGGGGGGGGGTGTCTTCTCCATTGTGTGAAACGCAATGGAGTTGCGTTTCACACAATGGAGAAAGAGACAGATACAAAAGAGACAAGCACCAATAATAATGAGAATTCGGGAAAAATGGGGATAATCGTTTTAATTGACCCCGTATAAATCTCAGAGCTCTAAAATATTAAAGCGATGAATTACTTAATCACGTTATTAATTAATTTGCTATTTGAAACGGGTTGGTTGATACAGTTTCAACTGTTTTCTTGTATTTTTCTAACTGGTACTTGAGCCATTTTGTTACTGACCGATTCACTTTTACCCTCTTGGAAATCGAAATGGTTACGTCACGCGTTTCGTCCCGTCCAACTTTTTTACTCCATGTTAAACCTCCGAGACAGCGGGAAAGAGACCGAACTCATTGTCATTGTTGCGGATACGCGAGAAAGCTTCGTTGCTTCCTTGCTTCATATAACTGGGACCGGATCTGTGAAAAGAGACCTCATCCTCCGGAAGAAATATTCCGAAACTTTGAACTTGGCGCGAAAAGCGATCACGGGAAGCGCCTGCAAAACTGTTGGGATACTTCAAACGTCGCACGATCTCCGCTCTCGCTCTCGCCTCTTGCCTCGCGAATCGCTCTAATGGAGAATTTACATGCACATTTTTTATTGCTTCATCTGAACGTACTTAAGGTGATTCGATGGACGCCATATAATGTGTCAGAACGGCATGCGATGTATCGCATCGATTGGTTCCATTTATTCAGCTACTAATCATTTTTCTCAAATTTTGAGATCGCAATTCTGTTGTCAGGAGACTAAAGCACTCACTTACCAATTTTAACAAAGAAATTCAACGTAATAAAGGCGTTGTTAGAGAAAACATCGCATTCGATACTGATATCGAAACTGCACTCGAATGCGATACTTTCTCTCTAAAAAAAAACGCCTTTATTACGTTGAATTTCTTTGCTAAAATTGGTAAGTGAGTGCTTTAGTCTCCTGACAACAGAATTGCGACCTCAAAATTTGAGAAAAATGATTCGTAGCTGAATAAATGGAACCAATTGATGCGATGTATCGCATGCCGTTCTGACACATAATATGGCGTCCATCGAATCACCTTAAAGAGCTGATTTCACAGTATTTTTTATAATTTTTTTCTGATATGGGAAATAGTATAAAAATAGATTTCGAAGTGAGAAAATGCACCCAGTGATGTCATCTAGCGGCATTTCCCATTTCAACGCACGTAATTTAGCGGAATAGATCACTTTGTTATGCATCTCATATAATAGTTAAATTCATGAACGAAGGGTATCCTCGTGCACAGTTTACTCAGTAGTTTCCACTTAAACGCATAATTCATCAAATCTCGGACGTTCTCCATTGTATAGGTTCCGAAATGCGGTTGCGAAATTTGGAAATGCGTGGGACAGTGCGCGCACAAAACTTCGGAAGGTGCACGCAAAAATGGAGCACGTTTTGATCAAAACGTAATACATTTTTTATCATCCATTATCCAAGGTTGTAGCCCACGCAATTTTTCCACCGCCTATACGCAATTCGCGAACGACCAATCGGTCGTTGGTTTGTGGAAATTCTGCGCCTCTGAAAGGATCTTTAAAAGAATGGAGATGTTGCATTTGTGAGGGATTGCGATTTGACCATTGATTCTTGTGTAAAAGTTCGCGAGAAACACGATGGTGCCACTGGTTTTCTGTGAAATAATCTCCCAAGCTCAAAAAAAGCTCTCAAAGTGAGGCCAAAATGGAGGGGATATCCCGCCCTACTCTGAGAGTCCACCTTTACATCAAAACAAACTCTCCATGCAAAGATAGGGAGCAAATACATTGACGGGGCTGCCACTTCATTTGGGGACTCCAAAACTGAAAACACGGCAACCCTGCTAATGTATTTGCTCCCTATCTTTGCCAGGTGAGTTTGTTTTGATGTAGAGGTGGACTCTCAGGGTAGGGCAGGATATCCCCTCCATTTTGGCCTCACTTTGAGAGCTTTTTTGAGGTTTTTTTTTTCAGAGGAAACCAGTGGCACCATCGTGTTTCCCGCGAACTTTTATACAGGGTGGCCCAGACCTACCGTACCAGGCCTTTTTTTCGGTTAATTTGGGTCGCACGAAGTCCAGGATCGCGGGGATGAGTAGGGAATCGACCCCAAGGAATCCGAATTTCATGGTCCCAGAGCCCCCCTGGCGTCCCTTGGGGCGTAAAAGGGGGGTCCGTACTTCAAAAGTCAGGGTTAATGTCCAAATTTTGAAATTATTTAATCGGAATCGGAACGTACGGAAATTTTTAACCTGAATCGACACCAAGAAATCCAAAATCGGACCATCCGGGTCCAAAATACCGACCCCTAAAGGTGGGGGACAGAGCCCCCTTTAAAAAAATATCAAGTTCGTTGAATTGACGTGGAGAGTCGGAAAAAATGTGTATACACATGTAATCGACCCCAAGAAATCCAAATTCGAGGGTCCCATTGTCCTCAGACACTTTTCTGATGGGGCACAGGGGTAACCTCCACACCAGTTATAAATTTAAAAGTTCAGAGACCCCCTGTGCCCCATCAGAAAAGTGTCTGAGGACAATGGGACCCTCAAATTTGAATTTCTTGGGGTTAATTACCTATGAATACACATTTTTTCCGACTCTCCACGTCAATTTAACGAACTTGATATTTTTTTAAAGGGGTCTCTGTCCCCCACCTTTAGGGGTCGGTATTTTGGACCCGGATGGTCCGATTTTGGATTTCTTGGTGTCGATTCAAGTTAAAAATTTCCGTATTTTCCGATTCCGATGAAATAATTTCAAAATTTGGACATTAACCCTGACTTTTGAAGTACGGACCCCCCTTTTACTCCCCAAGGGACGCCAGGGGGGCTCTGGAACCATGAAATTCGGATTCCTT